AGGAATTGGCTGATCCCATGAAAATGTTATATCTACCATTATAATATCGGTAGTTTGGAATTAAGGGTATTTCTTATTAAGTTAAGTTTTTTTGGTATGTTTTTCTTTAAGTGTCAGCTCTTTTTATATTTCATGCAGTTTTTTTCTTGATTTTCTGGATTAAACTACAAACAGAACTCATTTTAATTCCGTCCCATGCAAGCAGTTTTGGACTGTATATAATTTATAAAAAAACTGGGATACTCACAGCTTACACTCGGGTGCTGGTTCTAATAAAGATAGTCATTTGCATTCATAGATTTCATCCGCGTTTTGATCACTATTCTAACTTCGTAAAAGCTGCTCTTAATGATTTTAAGCCATTAGAAAGCGAAAGGAGTCTCAGTCGGAAATACTGTATTTATTTTGGAAAATGATCGTGATACTGTTGTCCTTAGAAGGAAATGGGAAAATAATTTCTGCATGGACACCATGTTTTTATGGCATTTGAGTTTGCATTAAAACTATTTGTGACCTGAGCGCTTTTGCGCTAGCATACCAGGCGCGTAGCGTGAACTTTTTGGCTAATACGCACATGTCAGGGACCGCGACACATATTTTGAATCTGGGGGTCTAACGACCGCCAAAGGCGGGAGTATTAAGGAAGTATGGTCCTCCCCCAGGAAACTTTCAATAATGATAACTCTTGGAAATGTGATTTCCAGCGTTTTGAGAGACATCGAGGTCATATAAAAGGGATCAATTTTATGTGAATTTTTCAGTAATTTTTGTGAAAATTTTGATATTTCCTTTCCACTAGTACGCATGTGCGTTTAGGAGTAAAGGACGCTATGCCTGTAGTGGAGCGGGAGAATTCGATAACATAGCATCATTATCTTTTCAGCATGCGAACTAAGGTGTGCAACATTCAGATTAAAGTCGACAGCGTACAGACTACTATGAGCCGAGCAAACGTGATGCGTAGCTTTTTGTCAGCAATTCGTGCACACAAAACCACATTTTGTTGCAAGCCCACTAATAATGTTTGATTGCAAAATTCAGCTCAACAATTATTGAACATTAAATGCTTTTTTATGTTAATGCGGAAAATTATTGATTTTGTCCGTTGTTTTTTTTGAGTCCACTCCTTTGTAAGTTCCATATTTCGAAATTTTAGATACTTTCACGAGAATATTCCGATCAATTCCGTTGTTTTGTCGAGCGCCTCCGACGACTTCCGAATTTTAGGCGCGCGACTTGAGTTGAATTTGAAAACGATCTCCAAGATGGCGGACAAAGCGTCGTCTCCGTTGCCTCGAAGGCCAGTTAGCGTGCCTTTACTAAGCCGATCGCTATGTTCCGAGTATCTTTTCTCRAAGGATTTCAAGACGAGGTCAAAGACACCATTGGTATGACATATTTCATTCTAAAACATGGATATTTTGAGTGTGTACTTGTTTACAATACCACAGTAGCTTGATCGACGATTTGGTCAGGTCCCCGGTTTGTTTACAATCTTTTAACAGTCGTCAAACTTCAAATTTGTTATGCATGTGTCTTTACCTTTCCCTAGATATCACTTGTTTAGAATTTTGAGCTCCCGATCGGCAATGGCGTAACTAAATTTAATTGAATTAGTCGTTTGCTAACATGGGCAGGAGTTTCTGCATGAAAACTGTATCTCTAGCTGTGCTTCCCAAGTTGTTATTTTACCTAACATTTTTGATCCGAAGCCCTAAAACGAAACAGACATCATATGGATGATTAAGCTAACATTTCGATTCTTTAAAATGTGAATTTGGTTCAAATTTAGTTAATTTAAGATGAGAGATATATTTTGCCAATTTTGCTCGACWATGTTGGTTGTCATGCATTTTTGCACTCTAAAACGTTATCAAAAACGTAATTGAGAGGTAGGGCTGTTTTTCTTTCATGGATTTTTCTTATCACCRAATATAAATGCTTTTTGACTTTATGGAATAATGTGTCTTTCCATTTCGGCGTAGAAAAAAYAATTTGAACAATTCATTATTTATGCTTTGAAGTGGAGAAATTCACTTTTTTGATAAAAATAATKATCTGTAACATATGACCTGGACTAGTTTGTGATTATCATAATATTTTGAAGGAGGTTTACCACAATTCCCTTACATTCGTTTTGGTTTTAACCATTTTGATGTATTTTTTTGTCAAAAATTGTATTCTTTTTACATTTTTTGCAACAAAATCCTTTTTGGGAAACAAGTCAAAGTTTAATGTCAATTTCCATGCTCCTTTCGAAATTGTTCCTAATTTTTCTCATTTCTAAACTGTTTCTATTATAAATTTCCTTGCTATTAAACGAGCGTTTTGGCAATAATGTGATAGGCTAATTTCCCTCTTAAAGCACAAAGGCAAAAACTTTAAGATATGAGAATAAAGAAAACATGTTAAGATATGAGAATAAAGAAAACATGTGTGGGCTGTTTTACGCCCACCTTTAAGAGACATTTTTTCTCTCTGCATTTTTATGACAAGATTACACAGTGCTAAGATATCAATATTTATCTAAAAGAGTTCACATGACAGAACGCGATATAAGCTAATGTTTAATACAAAATTTCCCTTATGCATACTGTTATTAGTATTTAATATGCATGTTTAGCTATATATATTTATATTAAAAAGGCCCTTACAGTATGGTTTTCATTAAACTGTGAAACAAAGTGCAAATAGTAAGGTATATAATCATGTCTGATACACTGAAACATGCAGAAAAATTTGTGAGATAAAGAGCAATAAAGTTAAGGCGGCAAAATCCGAGAAACAAAAACCCTCAACTTTGCGCAAAACATTTTCTCGTTTTTCACGACGTATTTTTGTTGCATAACAAGTTGACGATGCATAAAAAACGAGAAACTTTGATACTCAACTTTAACAGAAACAAAGTTGCGCGCCAAGTTGATGGTTTTTGTATCTCGTATTTAGCCGCCTTTAGAATACTAAAGTGCAGTTTAATGAGTTATAAAAACGACTCTATRGGTGTAGAAGTTCTGGCATTATGATACGATTTAATATGACTTTGTTATCATAATGACGCCTTGAGTATGTTTGCTATAAAGTAAGTCTTGGTAAAAACAAAGGAAATTATTTTGTAAATACTGTTTAATTTGTTGAATTTCTGAATATTTAAGCAACATGAACGACAAGATAAGATCTTTRAAAAATGCTTCCTCATATGGCCATTTGGACCTTGATTTGCTGATATCTTATTTTAATACTTGATTTGATATGTTCTTTATCTTTTAGCCGTTTTAATAGCTTGAAAGGAGGAAGTCACTCATGAGTAATCATATTCCAGCTCTCAGCTTTAAACATTCGATGTTCTTGATCATTTTTTTTGTTGATATTAAATTTGACTTAGATTAAATAAATACAATAAGTTACATTCAATAAAATTGTATTTTGTATCTTTAGTTATTCTCTAATTGAATGGTTTGATGATAATTCATTAGTTTATGATCAAATTATTATTAATTTAATCAAATATAAGTTTTGATATAAATGTAAAATAAATTATAAACTATAGATACAGTAAATGTAAGTTTATGCTTAGTTAATTAATCTTTGTGCAATTTCAAAAGTTAAAACACATAATTTATAGACAGACAAACACAAGCATAAGTTCACAAGTTTACAGTACTGTGTATTTTSTAAACAAAAGCATAATATTAAGTGCTTTTGGATGGTATCACTTGCCTTGAAGTCACCCTTCAAGGATACATGTTGTCTGTAGTGACTCGACAGTAACCATGGTAACCAAAATCCATAGTCACTKTCAAAGATCTCTTAGCAAGAGCACAACCCAGGGACTGGGTTGTTATAAYCAAAGTCCACACATACATTTTAGTTTTTTTTTTTCATTTTTAAAAACATAAATAAAGTCATTATAACATTTCTTTGCAACTATTTGATTCCAGGGAAATAAATCACTTGGTCGTTCTTTGAGAAGCACATTTCAGGATTTCACTGCATTTGGCAGCCCTGGTTACCCWTCCCCTCTCGACCGTATTAGAGGTGGGAAAGCAGAGAGAGCAAAGGAATTAGGRCTCATAACGGCATTCCAAGACTCTATGGATCTGAATGCAACCTTCCCTAAGGCGTCCAGGCCTCTTAGAGATGAGGCCATGGATACTCAGTCAAATAAACCTTCACTACATCAAATAGCAGGTACAACTGGTTTGTAACTGGTTTTACTGGCTTTTTTACAACTGGTTTTGTGCATGCATTTTGATTGAATTATTTAATAAATTATTTGTTCATTCATTTACTAATGCATTCGTCCATTTCCTTTTGCCTTTTTTCCCCCTTGTACATCCCGTAAGTTTGTGCACACAAAAAATTTAAAAAAAATTTAAAAAAAATTAAAATAAAAAAAAAAAAATTAAAATTAAAAAATTATTTGAAAAAATTATTTTATTATTAAATTATTTGAAACTAATTGTACACCATGTATTTTCTATTGGTTCTTTTCGAAATAGGTGACTCCCTGCATAGCTTCAGTTTTTCCACCGGACATTGGCGYGGCTCATTTGTTACTCCAGATCCAAGCAAACTAAATTCTTCCTGGCAGTTTTATAACTTTGTTGGTGGTGCTGGGACTGGAAATGTCTTTCCAACAACTGTCAGAAACCCTGTAAGTAATATTAGAATAGAATATTGTGGATTTATGCTGGGGCTAAATAAAGTAAGTTTTAAGATCTTCTCCTGTCCCTCAATAATTCAAAATACATGGATCATACATATATTTTTTACTGTTTTTCCTCCTTTGAACTACATACACACGTTTTAAAATTAGCGCTGTTGCCATATTGGCAACACACACACACACACATCATGAGGCAATGTGAGCATGGAATTTCCCAAGTCAATGTAACACAGGCAGCCCAACAATAACAAAAATATCTGCAAAATATGTTTGGTCATTTGTACCTATAAAGGCATGCATACTCATTCCTATGGGTGACTTTTCATAATGTTTGTTCATGTTATTTCTTCCCAGAACAAAGCTATAGTAACCATCAATGCAAGAACTTCAGAGATACTTGTGGCCAAYGATATGGCAATTGAATTGTTCCGATATCCAAGGGATGAACTAATTGGGATGAAAATGTCTTCATTGTTCAGTGATACACACAGAGAGAAGCAGGAATCTTTAGTGGAACAGCACATCGAAGGAAGTGGTGCTGTTGTRATGGTTTCTGGCAAAGTTGTAAGTAAATATTTTCATTGGGTTATATTAGTAGAAAGTTACTCTATGACTGGGTTCTTTACAGTAACTGCTTTTTATTGGATAAAGGTGGTAAGAGAACCTTACCTTTCACAACTTTTCAAATCTTGTGTAATTATATATTGTAAATATAATTTATAATAATTTATTGCATGGCTCATTTTTAAACTCCTTGAAAATTATTAACTGAAGAGAAAATGCCTTGAAATGTCTAGGCAATAGAGAGCTAAAAAACCCTTCAGTACTGAGGAGAAGAATGGATTAAATGTARCAAATATTCTTCAAAATATATAATATGTTTAATATCATTTTGTTCAATGGATAGTCATTGAAAACTCCTTCAGGAATATCCTGCATGGCTCCTCTTGTTATGTTACCTTTTTATTAATTTTTATTATTTTTTATTMATTATTACAGTWAATATAACCATTGCTGGTATTATGTTTCTTATAGCTTGAAGTAGTAGATGGATGTGGAATTGTGTTTCCTGTATCTCTGTGGATGAAAAAGCTCTCSTGGGAGGATGAACCTCGTTGTATAGCAATTATGGAACCTGTTGAAAGAAAAACCGCCATGGTGTTGTTTGATGCGGAGGTAGGTTTTATATTTAAAAAATATAAAACGGCGAGCGTGTCTCTGTCCTCTGATATAAACACGGTGGGAGTTCGAAAAACATGAGAGAAGCAAGCTTAGGAACACGAGCGTAGCGAGTGTTTCTCTTGCTTCTCGAGTGTTTTTCAACTCCCAACGTGTTTATATCAGAGGACAGAGACACAAGCGGCCGTTTTATATTTCTTTTATAAAATTTTTCGAGCGAAAAGCCAATTTTGCCAGTAAGCCGTGTCTCTGTCCTCTGATATAAACACGGTCGTCAGCCAATGAGAGCACGCGTTATATATCAAAAATTTTATAAAATAATTTAATCATTGTATTTTGACTTCTCATTTAATTTGTTTGATGTTTTATTGACTGGTATGTATTTGTCCATTCCATTTTGTATTCATCCGTCCATCCATTCTTAAAATAGTTYTGTCCATTTCCTTTGTTCATTCAATCATTTGCTCATTCGTTTATTCAGTCATTCATCCGTCCAGTTGTGACTTGTCCATCAATCCATCCATCCATTCTTAAGATAGTTTTTGGTCCATTTGTTTGTTCATTTGATCATTTTGTTCAGTTGTTCATTCATCCCTCCAATTGTGACTTGTCTAATACATCCATCCCATTTCAGACATTGATCTTTTGTGGAGTCTATAGTAATCTAATTGGTGKAGTTGAGTTTATGAGCATTTTGTACCTCTGAATTTATTGGCATTTAGTAGATTTTGTTCCGTTGGACAAACTATAAAGTATATGATATGTATATCTGTAAATATCAATCGATGTAGACTGCAAACTTCTTTATAACTAAGCAATTAGATTAGACATGGCAAAAGATTGACGTCTGAAACAGGCCTAACTGTCCATTCAGTTGTCAATTTTGTTCAGACATGCATTCATCCAATTGTACATCTATCCATTAATTCATCTATCCAGTGCCAGGTTGTGCTCAACGCCAGATTGTTAATCCAGGGAGTTATAACCCAGGATTAGCACTAAATTAAGCTTCAAACAATCTGACCCAGTATTGTTTCATGTAAAAAAGTTATTTCCTGTCTGACACTTAATTGTGTTTCTTTAGGGAAGAATTCTTGATTGTGAATCACAATTTGCCAATATTCATGGGTTTGGAGAGGCCACAGAGATCAAGGGACAAAACATCARATCATTTTTGCCTGCTCTTACTATACCTACTGGAGCTGTTCTAGAAAGAGTAAGTTTATACTATATAACTGTATAATTTTCATGATTTTTCATGCTGTCTTGAATAGGGTCAGAGTTCAGGAGGTACCAGTGGAATTCCCCCACCCCTTTCCAGGACTATATCATAGTCAAATAAAAAGATTGAAGATACATGTATATTTGAATAACAATATTTTGTTTGCAATTCAGCASATGAAGAAACAACGGACCACTGGCAAAACCAAAGATGGCTGCTTCTTTCCTCTGACAATTCTTCTAAAGGCAAAGACAAGCCAAGAGCTTAGGAAAGCAGGAATTACTATCCCAGACGGCACTGTTGCTTACAAAGGTTTATTATGGGTGTTTGCTAATATCAGTGGTCTGATTAGTTTTACTCCTGACGGGAAGATATTGACATGTAATCATAACTTTTCCTTGTTGATGTTTGGTTATCATGAGAGTGATTTGGTTGGAAAGGTGAGTTCAMAAGTTGATCTTGTCTTTCAGGAGTTATTTTTYGATYTGTTTATTAAAAAAAGTAGCTGTGGCAGCCTTTTATTTAGTCATTTCTTCATTTGCATGAATGATTCAATATTATTAAGTGATTTTTAAAAGTCTTGGACTATATTATTTTTTTGATAAGTCAAAGTAAATTGTATTCATTTGTTCATTTTCTTTCATTTATTCCATCATCTCATGGTCATTCATGTTTCATTTCAAGATTTCAATCAACCATCCATATATTCATTCACTGCATCTGTCATCCCTTCCTTCGTTCACCCATTCTCTCATAAAGAATTTTAATTCTTAATGATTAATAAAATATTCTGAAAAAGTACAAAGCAATTCACTATCTCATTACAATTTATTTCAGCACATAACGTCAATAATTCCAGACTTTTATGACGACATGGATCTGATTGATGACAGCATGCCCCTCCCTCCCTTTGACCTTGATGACGATGATCCCATCATGGATAGCAAAGGTTTCCCAGTTAAAGAAAACAATTTTGTAATCCCTGACATCACATCTCCAAGTAAGAAAAAAATTATCATGATATGGTGGGAACTAGCGGTAAACTAGTGTGAGCTGAGTCGGTGTTTCTAAGGAAACACTTACGTGTAAAGAAGATAAGTTTAACACCGTAAAAAAGGATGGCAATTAACTTAATGACGTTTCGGATGTTAATCCTTCGTCGGAGTAAAGAGCTCTTTACTCCGACGAAGGATTAACATCTGAAACGTCAGTAAGTTATTATCATGATATGATGTTTTTATTATAGAGTGCTTACACTATGACCATGAAAAAGAATGTAAGTAGTTACTAACAAATAGTTTTTATTTAATGACTATTAGTCACTATCATTTAATTGGAACAGTCTTACTAGTAGTAACAATACATTCTGTACACTTGGGAATCGAATACAAAGGAAACAATACCTCTATTGTGACTGTTCCAGTTGAGTAATAGCAACTAATAGTCAAAGTAAATAAGAACTAGAGTACAAACATTAAATGTGTGCAASACTTTCCACTATTTACTACAAAATAGTGTTAATTAAACAATAGAAAACAATAGAATTAGCATAATTTAGCAGTATTTAGTGGTATTTATGTTGCAAATAGTCTTTGTACTCTATTAGATAGTAACTATTTAGATTTGATTTCATAGACATAGTCCTGTAAGCACTATTTATCATATATTATTGAGAGAGATCGAGAGACCAATTTAATGCTATCTAGTTAATTTACAACTTTGATTGACAGCTGACAGTTGCAACACAGTGAATAACACCTCAACACGAGCCGTCCTTGGAGATAGCATGGCTAATATGACCAGAAGTCCTCTTTTTGAAAATCTTTCTCGGCTCAACAATTCTGGGAGTTCTGATGGCACAGCATCACTCAGCAACTCAAATTCATCTGCTACAAGCTTCCACACCACAAAAAGTGTCTCTCCAAGGTGTGCATGGCCAGGAAATTCACC